AACTTGGAGAAATATAGAGTTTACAAAAAATTAAACAGAAAGGTTTTTTGAGTTATAAAAAACAGAAGGTACAATTTTAAAAAAGAATGGACTAAAAAATATAATTATAATCTACTGATTTAAGCCGTTTTAGTCATACACATCTTAATTGCGAGAGGTAAAAAAGAAATTGCTACCGACACAAGTCATGGAGATTTCAGATTTGGGTTTTACCATATTTTGTATGTTATGACGCCAATTGCTTCGTTTGAAACCTGTTTTTTATTTATATAATCCTTGTAGCAGACGTGCTTATTACAGCCATGCTAGTAATAAAACTAATATTTACGTAATTCATAATCGTAAACATATATTAACTAAGAAGCAAAGTTTTTTATTAGTATTAGGTCTTTTAAACAAAACACTTTAACGGATTAAAACGCGATATATTAGTTAAGCTTATTTGAAAATGATTTTTAACTTCGGCCCGACGCTTCGGATGCTTTGCAGCAGCCGTGGTCTCCCCGTGACGTGAAGTTAAAAATCATTTTCAAATAAGTTTAACTAATATATCGCGTTTGGACCCTTACAGTGTTTTATTTAAATGTGTACTACTCGCGTAAGCTATAGACAGTATTTAGTATTAAGTCTTACTAATAAAAAATCCCTTAACCAAATATAGCTGAAGAGTTTGTTTGAACGCGCTAATCATAGGAACTATTGGTTCGAATTGAAGAACTATTTTTTTGTCGGTTTGACAATTTATCGAGAAAGGCTTTAGGCTATAAAACATTAGGCTGCAAGCCATAGGAGCGGAAAACAGAAGGAAATGTAGAAAAAAACGGGGAAATTATTCATAATTGAGTATTAAAATACTTCATTGGTATACAAAAGAGCCAAGCTGCAAGTCAAGATCTAAATTATCTTATGTTGTTTAAATAATAACTCCAATTATAATCTAAAACTAATTGTGGTTAACCATACAATGAATTATATTATAAATAATGGATTTGTTTTGTATTTGTCCATAGCGAAACAGTGTCACCGATATTCTGCGAATATCGAAGGAAAATAACACGAGGTGATGAGAGTTCAAACGAACCAACACCATACATGTTTGTTATATATTAGAATGTTATATGGTATGCTTTTAAAGTAGTTTCGATAATATAATACTACTAGTATCCGTACAAGACAATAATATTAAAATACTAGCTGATTCAGCGACTTCGTCCGCGTAGAATTTTTATTTTGAGCATTACAATTTTGTTGCTAACGTCCTCTTTATCTTCGTCCAGCTATTGCCTACGAAGTCGGTCGCGTCCCGTCGTTCTTGCAAGTTAATCTTTAAAGATAGACATATAGTGTCGCGGACATTTTTTTAGATCATTCAAATTCCCGCTACTTCTTCGCTCTTATTAGTCGAAGTACACTCTCACTCCTACTCCCAATCCTATTCCCAAAAAGTAAAATAAGAAACTTTCATTGTTCTAGCTTCAAAAACCACGAATTTTCATACAAACTTTCATCCCCTTTTTCAACCCCTATCAACCCTTTTTTTGCATTGGCCATTTAGCCTATATTCTTTCTCTGGCTCTAAAATATCTGTGTACCAAATTTCTTTTAATCAGTTCAGTAGTTTCGGAGTTAAAGCCGGACAGACAGACAGAGTTACTTTCGCATTTATAATATTAGTATTAATATAGATAGATATTAATTTCTGAAATGTTAGTACTATAATTCCACAATGCAGCAGAATAATTATATATGTTTTAAGCTTGAAATTCTTGCATAGATTATTTAACAAGAATGACCTTTATATACACTATGTTATGTATAAGTTAATATATATATTAGCGCATATTAAAATAATTCTCTAAGATCTATGATTCTAATGTGGTCTGTCCGTTGTCACCTTGAATACGATGGTTGAGGTCGAGGCATTGCATTTTATTTGTTTACGTGAATTTATCCTTAATTTAAGGCTATTTTTCTAATATATGTATTAAAAATAAAATTATTTGTTTCACAACAGAAATGTTTCCTTTATAGATTAGGTTTAAAAGCACTTCAACGGTTTAAAACGCGAAATATATTATTTCAACTTGCTTTAATAGTGAATGATTTAAACTATGGCCCGTCGTTTTAGGTTTGTCTTAACCAAATAATGAAGGATTAAGACATTATAGTCAATAGTAATATTAATAAATGACTCTCCTTGTTGTGGTTGATAGTTTACTTTTGTCAGTAACTTATTAAACGAAAATGTAACCACGGCTTCTGCCAAGCATTCGACACTACAATCGGCCCGTAGCTGAAATAAAAATTATAAATAAGTTTTATATTTCGAGTTTAACCTCGTGAAAAGCGTTTGAAATGCGGAGTAAATCAATTTAGTAGCTTAATCTGCATTTATATTATACTACATGTGCCCGCGACTTCATTCGCGTAGATTAGTGACTTGGTTATTTTTAAAGGCTGTTTATTAATTTATGTAATTGCGCATTTATCGCAGGCAAGCTATGTTGTAAGTGCTACTTTGCAGCAACACTCTAACTCCCACTCCTATTCCCAAAAAGCTAAAGAATAAAGTTCATTGTTCTTGCTTCAAAAACTAGATCCATACAAACTTTCACCCCCTTTAACCCCTTACAACCCCCTTTTCGCAATAAAAAGTAGCCTTTCCTTCTCAGGGTCTAGACCATCTGTGTACCAAATTTCATTCAAATCCGTTCAGTATTTTTGGCGTGAAATAGTAACAGACAGACAGACGGACAGACATTTACTTTCGCATTTATAATATTAGTAAGGACTGTATATGGTAAACGCAACATATAATTTTGTATGTAAGATAACGTACATACGTACGTAAGACTGAATATTATTTTTGCAAACTTGTTGGATAACATCGGCATTACAAAGAAGCGAGAATACTGTGGATAACCGAACTTTAATTAACGCTATGTCAAATTCCCAGAATGCCAAAAGCTATGTCCGAAACAAGTTTACATTGACGAAAGAGCATGTTTCTTTATCAGTATAAAAACTAGAGTTGACATGCGATCCCCATATTTCGTTGTCACCTGTGTTCATTGCCGCGTGTGTGAAAAAAATTAAGGTATTTTTTGTTAGAAAATCGCGTTTCGGCTTATTTAAAACTGAATTATGCGAATGCTATATGATTAATCACGTTATACGAGTATTAAAGAGTGTTTTTTATCAATATAAATGATTATAATCCTAATTTTTTACTCAAACATCGATCAATGATTAAACGATACGAGCAACCAGTGTTTTTAGTGTTTTAATTTTCCTTATTAAGCGATATTAGATATTTTTTAGAATGTGCAAAGATTTTCCATAAAATTAAACATATATGTATGTAATAATAATCCGTCCACCTATCTTTATATATTATATGTTATTGGGAAAATGATTTTTACTTTTTAAAAATAGAACTTTTATTATAAAAAATAAAGGAATCTACATTAGTATCTTCTGTTTTGAAGTCGGTTAAAAATTCAGACAGTTATATTAAACCCTTTTTTTTCTAGAATGAAGACATTGGTATGTGTTTTGTGTGTACTGGCTTGCGCCGTGGCTTTCCCCGCTTCAGACACCTATACGGACCGTTTTGACAACATCAATATTCAGGATATATTAAACAACCCACGCCTACTAAACGCTTACATCAATTGTGTATTGGATAAAGGCAGATGTACTAATGAAGGAAAGGAGTTGAAATGTAAGTACGCAAGTGTAATATCCCATGGGGCGTGGGGCAAACTCGTTGATGCCACCAATTTAAAAAATACTATATTTTCCTAGGTCTTGTCTCGTTTGACGTATTGTATAAGTGCCACGAAGTCATTCGTGCTGTGCTAATATTAACTACACATTGAAGACAACTTTAAAGACTAGAATAAAAAGATTTTATTACGCGATAAATTAATACAAAAAATTCATAAAAATACAAAAACTAAAACTTTAAGCAACTCGATATATCGTATCTAACTATACAAATACATAAAGCTGAAGAGTTTGTTTGTTTGTTTGAAAGCGCTAATCTCGTAAGCTACTGGTTCGAATTGAAGAATTATTTTAGGTTAGAGCATTTATCGAGAAAGGCTATAGACTATAAAACATTGCGATGCGACTTATAGGAGCTAAGAAACATCGGGAAGTGTGAAAAAAGCGGGGAAAATTATTCATCCTTGTGGATTTCCGTTGCGTACGCGTATCTTTTATGATTAACTTGCAAGAAAGACGAGACGCGACCAACGTCGTGGAAAACAGCTTAAATTTATAAACATCAGGAGGTTTTTAATAATAAATTTGTATGTCTTAAATAAATTATCTACGCGGACGAAGTCGCTCACTCAGCTTGTATATATATATTGTAATATAAATGCACGCGCAAATCGTTTTACTTGAGGCCTTAGGGCACCTGTTAAATAAACTGATTATTTTTTATTTTCAGTACACATAAGCGAAGCCCTAGCGACCAACTGTCAGAAATGCACAGATAAGCAGAGGAAGGGAACTCGAACTGTCATAGCACATCTCATTAACAACAATCAAGATGCGTGGGAGCAACTCACTGCGAAATACGACCCACAGAGGAAGTACACAGCCCAATATGAGAAAGAGTTGAAGACTATTACCGCGTAGTAATAAAAAGAAATCTAAGTTTACAAAGAAATTTATGTACATTTAAAACTAATGTCTATTTTTAAACGGCAAAAATGGCTTTTCTAGAAGACATTTTAAAATATTTTCCTTATAAAAAGTTTAACTCGTCGGCAGATTGTCATTACAACGTACAGAAAATAATTTTAAAATATTTTTTTGTATAGCTATATATGTTAGACAAAAACTAAAACGAATTTTCATAGATGTAAAGAAAGAAGGTTGTAAGACATGTTTTATTTAAGATTGTAAAATAAGATCCTAACGTATTTATTTCAAACTAGTTTAATGTTTTTTATGTAAATTATGGAACAAGTTTACCTCCTTGGAGACTAAAAGATATCTTTCTCATATGTGATACATAAGGTTTATATAGCACCGTATTTCCGAGATTATATACAATATAAGTATTATTTAATAAAAGTAATTATGTAACGTTTTTGTTCGTTTCTTATATGTGTGACGTGTTGACTTATGAGTCAGAAATCAACTTTAGGGTTAAGGCCTATGCAGATCTTGCTTTCTGAACAATAAATATACATTAGTGATTCAATATTAGAAACTCAACACTAAGTATTTGCAAATAACTAAATTCAGACAAATAACTAAGGGCCAAGGTAGAAAGCTTTTTAAATGTTTCAGAAAATAACAGTATATTTTTGTAAAAGTTACAATGGCAACTTATAGAACTTAAAAACGTATACAGAAGATTTTTTATTGTAGTTTTAACAATACTAGATAATCTGTAAATTGTACAAAGAAATACATACAATGCAGATGGTGTCTTTAATGCACAATATACCACACTTTTAAATACTTAACACTAACCCATTCTTATATTAATTTAAAAAATGATTAGCCTAATTTGATTTACATATTAGAGATTTAGTCAAGCAATTCTGAGTACTTATTAAATAAATAGTACGTATGTAACAACCTTTGACATATATGGGTCCTGTCCCCTCGCGGCTTCGCCTGCTGTAAAGCATAAACGTCGGATCGTAGTTCAAATAAATTAAGATAAATCTACTTTAGAGGAACAGCACGGAACGATACCGATGCCGGTTCAAGTCCTGCCCGAGTTTTTTTTTCAAGAAATTTTTTTCAATTTATTTTCGATTTTTAAATTAAGATCAATTTAACCGATATATTTCGCTGCGAAAAAGGTTCAAGATGTCCAAAAAGGATGTATGAAAGAATCATTCCTTTTAAAGTGATCTAAGAAAATGTCTGCGACACTAACACTCTTATTACAGAACAAAGACTAATTGTCAAGTCCGCACTGCACTAACTATGGTACCTTAGAACATGGTTTAAGAGTTAAACCAAAACTTTTTTTTGTAATAAGGCCGAATGAATGGGACCCGAACGACGGATCGGGACGCGTCCGATGTACTGCGATGTCGGATAGCAGTTTAAATTTATAAAGATGAAGAGGTTTGAATGGGATTGGATTGGGATGCCCAAATTCTACGCGGAATAAGTCGCTGACACAGCTAGTTTCAGATATAAAAAAATTGAGACTAATTTTGCCAGAATAAAGTAAAATACAATATTCAATTTCTGAATCGGTTATAAATTGAAAGAAATTACGACTCGGGCAGGACTTGAATCGGCATCCACAGCATTCGGTGCTGTTGCTCTGACCATTGACCTACCAATGTATAGTTGTTTTTTTAATTTATATAGTGCCATAATATGCAATAACATGTGAAAAATCTTAAAGCTTTCAGACAAATTTTCGATTAGGCCCATTTTTTTAATGATAGGAGAGGACAGACAAGTACGATGTTTCCTTGATGGTAGTATATCAACTACCATCAAGTGATTTTGATTTTTTTTGATTTTTTAAAATTCTTTATTTCAAAATGGCTTACATTAGACTTAACCTAGTGTACATTGAACTTATCCTAGATAAGCCTTAAATGAGTTGATATACATTAATGTTGACCAAGAATATATAATCAGAAATAATTCAGAACTGTGTTCACATCATTTATATGTTTTTTTTTTATTTTTTTTTTATTCGACAATATTAATTATAAGCTCTAGTAACTACTGAGGGTAGATAACTAATTCTAAAATGTATTAGTTACAATACTTTAAATCTTATGCAAAATAGAAGCATACTTTGCTTAAACAATTACGACGGAGTACGGTGCCGCAAGAAAGTTTGCCATGTCACACAAACACGTACAAGCCGAAATGCTCATACTGCTAATATGCGAGACAGGCAAATGTCGCAAATGCGATGGGCTGGTGGTGTGTCAAACCTGTTTGGTCGAGTGTACCTATTCATACTCGAGGAACAAGTGATGGGGGAGTTTGTATCGATTATATTTGTCGATATATGATATATTACTTTTACGGGATCTGCATATAGAGTTAATAAGTGTATTTTTGGTAATGGGGATATTGTAAAGGTAGAATGTTTTAGATACTTTGTATATAAATGAGATAAGGCTGGGGAGACCGACTTTACTATGTAATATTTACGAGGTTAGTGAGAAAAGGAGTATTGTAAGACCATTTTAGTGCCTTATTCTGTATTATTTGCAGTTTATTTATATTGCTGCGGCAAGTGCTGCTCCATACGGGGCAGGCATATGTTATACGGGGACGAACCACCACGTGGACGTGGACGGACTACCATCAAGTACCTAGCATCTAAAGAAGTTAGAGCATATATTGAGGAAGACTATAAAACTTAAATTAAAAAAAAGGGAAAATTATTCATCCTTGTGGAACGACGTGACGCGACCGACACCGTGGATAATAGCGTAAGTGTATAACGATGATGGGGTTTGCAAAAACGAATTTGAATGCCCACAATAATCGATCGCTAAAAATTATTTTAGGATTCCATTGAGGCATCAATGCTGACGTAAAGACTAAAAATAATTCCATCAACCAAGTTGAACTGGGAACTAATATGTTTATTTTATTTTCATTGCGATATTACTTAGAATCGATTTGCGTCACTTTGGAATAAATATTGTGTAGCTTACCTATTTACATAATGCTTAGAAAGATTGAGTTTGTAAATAATCATGTACTGTCTCGTTGATCTAGTGATTACAAATCACGTTTAGAGGTTTGAATCTAGGGTTGAATGCTATGTCAGTGTTTTTTTCCAAAATTTGGAATTGGGTGTCATTAAATTTTAGCGGCGTAGCTGCTATAAATCGCACTGCAGTACCACGCTACTGCAGTGCGCTACTGCAGTGCGGGTCACTCTGCTACGGTTCTGTAGATTTAATTTCAGCTGTTGGACGTAGCATAAGCGTATGGTATATTCAAACATTTAGAGTATTATTTAGATTGAAAAAAAAAACACGGCACGTAATTGAACCGGCATCCACAGCGTTCCGTGCTTTTGCTCTAACCATTAATTAATATTACAAGAAATGCGACGATTTGGAAAATTTCATAAATACAGATATGTACGTCAGGACAATATATATTGGTATACCATGGTCTTGGATTCGAATACTCTCTGTGTTATTTTTTCTTATAGAACGTACGTTCTTCTATTTATATAAATCCTTATGTTAAAACTCCTTGCTCACCTCTGTAGCTACAAAGTTTAAACGCGATAGGTCCTGGGTTCGAAACTCGGGGAAAAAATAGATTGTTTCGATCGGGCAGGGCACTGAAGTATGATTAAATACTTGCCTATAAAAAAGCGTTCTGTGATCGCCACATTCTCCACAGAGAGAAGCGAGATTTCACTTTTTTAACAGATTTACAAGATAGAAGTTAGGTAAGTAACAAGTAACTTTTCACTTACATTTGTTTTATTGTAAAATGCATATGACATTCTAATTCATTATGAATAATTTTCCCCGTTTTTCCACGATCTCTTCGCTCCTATTGCTCGGAGCGTGATTTTATACAGCGTAAAGCTGTCTCGATAAATGGTCTACCTAAAACAAAATTCCAATGAAATCCAGTAGTTACTAAGATTAGCGCGTTTGAATAACCAAACAAACTTCAGCTTATTAGTATAAATTAAGTAAATTAAAAAAAAAAACAATCATGGTGATAGCGAGTGAAAAGAGTATTCCTCTCCTTCATTCTTATCATTTAAGAAGTGGTTCGGAGGATTTTGTTTATAACATCAAAGAAATCAATGACTTTACATAAAGTAAAGAGTAGTTAATTATAATTATTTTCTTCTGCCCGTGTCTGTTTGAAGTAAACAATACATTACATGACTTTTTCAGATGGTTTTGAATTTCGAACGCGATAACTAACCATACATTGCTACCCTTAGACCAACGAGGCTGTTAAAATAATTACTCCGTCTTATAATACACACGAGTACAATTAAAAAATACTTTTAAATTTAAATGTTTTATATCTCAGATATGTTGTGTCTATTGCTAGATAAAGCAGAACATAGAGAAAGACAGAGAAATGCTCAAAAATGAAGTTTCTAAACAGAAGTACCTAAAAAAATTACGTCACTTCAATTTTTAAATATGGAATCACCATTAAGTATAATTAATTATGCGCCTGATCTGAAATAAAATCTTTAAGCCCTCCTCACAAAAAGCTCGTACAAGTGACTCAACTTCTGACGTTAAAATACTTAGAAAATGCAAATGATAAGTTTTTGTCTCCATATTCTGAACCTATATAAAACGCCTTATGAACCATGACGGTTATCAGTTGTTGGAAGCCAATCAGTGCCTAAACATCTCTAAGGTATCTAGCATAATTTGTATTTATTACATTTAACATTTTTTGGAAAAAGGGGGGATTTTACGCACATTTTAATTTTATATCTTTAGGTTACCCTGTTTTCAATGTGTAAAAATGTATTTAATATAATTGATTTAAAATGTTTTAGTAAATAATTAATTATTTAATATGTTTTATGGGTCGTTTCATTGATCAATTTTACTTCAACCAAGTAAGTTTCCAAAATTTCAAAAGGTCTCTGCTAAACGTAGATAGTTACAATGCACATATTGTTTTGAAATTCTAACTTATTCTAGAAAGTAATTACTGTAAAAAGGTATTCGTCAACATTTATTTATCACTTGCTTGCATTCATAGACATGGTAAAATCTTGGGGATCGTTTTTCATTAACCATTAATTAATAAAACAGTGTGCGCTTTAATTTTTGTGGGTAGTTATAGATTTCGAGATTCAGACAATCATCAAACCTCCTATAAAGTATTATAGTATTCGGGCTTTCTTTTTATAATGATGATTTCCGTATTCTGTCGAATTCTTCTTCTTGCTAGCACATGCATTATTAGGTACATAAAAAACGAACGTGATTATTTAGCTCTAAGTTTTGTAGTACCATCAGCATCAAAATATAATATTAAACCTTATTACTTTTCTAAAATCTGCTTTGTTTTTCCAGAACTTCAATATGAGATCTTTCATCGTCATCGCTTTGTTCGCCCTCGTGGCTCTGGCTTCCGCCCTCCCTGAGCAGTACACCGACCGTTACGACAACATTGACCTTGATGAGATCCTCGGCAACGACAGGCTCCTCATCCCCTACGTCAAGTGTATGCTGGACGAGGGCAAGTGCTCTCCCGAAGGAAAGGAGCTTAAAGGTAAATGTTACAAACGTTTAAATGAGTAGACAGATAAAAATAAACTTTTTATTTTATCTTCTTACTTATTTGAAATTCGTTCCATTCAATGGAGCTATTTTGAATATATAGAATGCCATAATTTGCTAAATACTAAAATTTAAAGGAAGACATATATAGTAAATGGATGGTAGTATTATCGAAATATAGCCCGGGAATCTTCGTCCTCAGATAAAAAGCTGTAAAGTTTATTAGCGCTTCGGTTCGATTGAACTTTCAATTGCGATTAAAGATGAGTGTTGAGTCTAGTCATCTAGTTTAGATATCTATAGATGGTTAGTTAATATTAGATTCTCTGTCTTATAAAATTGGCGTCTGCAATAAAGTCAAAATAAAATGATAAACTAAACGGTAGTATCTTAATGTAGGAATTAAAATAATATCATTTTCAACCCAATGATTATTCAAAATTTTAACGACAAATTAAAAGGCTTGTCTGTAGTAAGTATTGTATAAGACGTAAAATATCAAATAAATTCTATGTAGGTAGATGTAGATAGATGTTTAAAAAATTGTACTTTATTATATTTAATTGTAAAAGACCGGTAATTAATTTAGTAGTTCGTTTAAAAGTTTTCTGTTTTTACAACACAAAATAGCCAACCTCATAACATTATTTAGATCCAGTATCCGCAGATGTGAGGTGTCCCGATTTTTAAACTAAAGTGAAATGTCTCTCGGGGGCTTACTCTAGCTTTGCGGAAATAACAACGAAATAACTTTTTTTACTCTCTCACGGATAAAGTTAAAAATTCAGGCTAGAAATCAGACAACACTGATTTAGCAATCGAGGAGTTAACATCTCCTGATGATGCCCGTGATGGCGAAACGTCGAGAACCTCTTCTCGCTCACGTCGGCCGAACAGCCCGAAATACTATAATATGCTGAACGATGCCCGTGAAAGCCTTACACAATTTATTAACACTGATTTAATCACACCTAAGATTTAGTAGAAGTTATCGAATTGATGTTTGCATTATGTGAACATTAAATTCACCATGCTTTATAATTACCTCAACATAATATTATGTAACACAAGCTATGTTTAAAAAGTCTATTTTAAACGATTAGGTCTTGATCTTGACCTGTAGTACAAGGAAACAATAGTTACGAGAATATTGCGTTTAAACTACGTTTTATGTTAATTCATCTGTACATTGTAAACGTTTTAAAAGTTATGTTAGTCTCATGATCACACTACTTACAAGTACTAGTATACAAGTCCAATATTGCACTGTACCTAGTATTTGATTAAGTCTAGAAAGTTACAAATATATGTATACAAGCTGTGCCCGCGACTTCGTCCGAGTGGTATAGTGATTTTAATTATTTATAAAAGGGCGCATTCAAGGCAGCCATACTATGTGGTAAGTGCTACTTTGCCGTAACACTTCCACTTACACCTCATATCACTCCCACTCCCACTCTCACTCCAGTTCCCAAAAAGCCAAAGAAGAAAGTTTCATTGTTCTAGCTTCAAAAGTAAGAATTTCCATACAAACTTTCATCCCCTTTTCAACCCCTAACAATGGCATTAAAAAGCTCGTCCCTCGTCAGGCTCTAGAATATCTGTGTACCAAGTTTCATTAAAATCGGTTCAGTAGTATCGACGTTAAAGCCGGACAGACAGACAGACAGAGTTACTTTCGAATTTATAATATTAGTATAGATAGCATGTTTCATTTCATGTTTCAAATTTTTTCAATTTATACATTTTCTGAAACATGTTGGAATTCGCCTGCAAAATCTGGATATTAGATGGGTGGTAGGAATATAGAAATTCCGTTCGGGTCACGAACCACCGTCCACAGATGAAAGAGCCGTGAAGCTTAATCGCGCTTCGGTTTCAGTCTGTGGATTTCCGAATATCCAAAGCCAAAAAAGATCGGCAGCGCATCTTATTATCAGCGTACCCAGGACCTATCGCGCTTAATGCAATGCTAGGCAATACGTTCAACCATTTGGCTACCAAGAGGCGGCCAATAATTAATATAACATAATTTCTACAGAATCTTCATGTATAAAAATTCATGATGTCATTTCGCGTTTTAAACGGTTTAAAGTCGTTAAGTTAGTCCAAATAATATATAAAATAATAATATAGAAATCTTGTAAATAAATGTAGTGTACTTTAATACATAGTTGCGATATTTTACATAGATACATTTACATACATTTTATAGAGGAGGACAAACAAGCTTGGGCTTCACCTGGTCGTAGCCCAGCCATGTCACATCTAAACAAGATGCACTGTAGACCTATTTTGGCCTTGGATATTCGGAAATCCACAACCGGAAACCAAAACGCGTGGTGACACTGGCAAAACTTCCCTATCTACCACTCGTTTAATATCCAGATTCCCAGACGAAGTCCAACATGTTTCACGTTTAAATAAAACACTTTAACGGTTTAAAACCGATATATTATTACTTATTTGAAAATGATTTTTAATTGGCCGCTTTGGATTTTGCAGCAGCCGTGGTCACGGGTCACAGTTAAAGTGTTTTATTTAAATGTATCTCGGTAAACTATAGACAGTATTTTCAGTTTATAAATTGTTGAGAACCATTTTAGACCCCTCGGGCATGGAATTCACGACCCGCTGATTATTAGCCATGAGCCCGTTATTGTCATAAACAGTTATAATAATTTTCTCACGTTTTACAGCTCACATCAAGGAAGCTCTTGAACAGAACTGCGATAAATGTACTGCCGCTCAGAAATCTGGTACTCGCCGTGTCATCGGTCATCTCATCAACAAGAAAGCCGACTACTGGGAACAGCTGAAGGCCAAATACGACCCCGAGCACAAATACGTCCTGAAATACGAAGCAGAGCTACGCACAGTTGTCGCTTAATAACTGAACAAGTGCAAGTATGAGTATTCGTTACGTATTCGTTGCGTCTTTTCGAATTTCGAATTGGATTGACTAACGAATGTGTTCGAAACGAAACTCGTACTAGGGTCTACGCGAAAATGTTAAATTATTTCTTGTGATAATAAATATTTCGATTTCATTCATTTGTACTTTTGTGTTTTCTTTTGTTGTATCAACATTTTGATGTGTCTTTGCTCTCCCTCAGGAGAAAGGTTTTGCGCTTTATAGCTTTAAACGCATAGCTGTTATCGCTAAACTATACTCGCAATCGTGATAGATGTAACATGCTCTTAGTGACACGGAGTTACCAAAATTACAATTATTTGGTAGTAATTATGCAATACGATTTTAACAATTGTAATTTGTATTATAATACAGAAACAGTAAAATAGTAATTCACAGAATTTCTAAATGTCGTATGCTACGGTTTACAAAAAGGTATTTATTTTCAGTTGTTTATACGAATGGTGCCTTTACTACTACTGCACCTCCTATATTTAAAACCTTAGGGAAATCTTTTCCTGGACTTGTAAGTTAATTAGAACGAAAAATTTTAGCAATAACGTTAAGAAGGTGAATTATCGAAGTGTGTGTTTCCTTTTTAAGTGAAGCTGTAAAAAATAATACGTCATAGAAGAAAAAATATCTGCGTCATTGTCTAGTCGATTGAAGCTTAGACCGTCACGTTCTCACGGTCATAGTTATTTTATAGTTAAATAATTTTGTGAATTAATCATAATTATGGATGTAATGACAATTTAAAAAAAAAACGAGTCTCCAAAATATTTGGAAATATTGATATTACAACGACAGCTTAGTTGGTTAAATAACTAATAAATATTTAAATAACAAACTTAAACGATTTAAAACGCGATGCATATTAGTTAGTTGTTTGGAAATTATTTTAACTTCGGCTCGATGTTTCGAATGCTTTGGAGCAGCCGTGGTCATGGGGAGGCGGGAAAAAATAATTTCAAAATAAGTTTAAACTAATATACATCGCGTTTTAAACCGTTAGTGTTTTATTTAAATGTGTACTACTGGCGTAATAATCAACCGATCGCTTGGTTAAATCCCATAGAACAAGTTTCTAAAATCAATTTATAATTATTTCAATCGTATTTAGCCTATATTGTCTGGAAAATCTGGATACTAATGGAATGGTGTTAGAAGTGGAGACACTAACCATTGCTGCACATGGACAAAGTCGCGGAGTGCGTCTTATTTATAACTAGCTATGCCAACTCCCTCCTCATCTTTATAAATGAATAAAAGCTGTTACCCACGACGTTACGTACGCATCTTATCGTACTTGCAAGTTACACTTAAACGATAGATCTTAAAATCTTTTAAGTAGTATATCTGTACTACCCCGATTTTTTCACATTACCCACTGTTTCTTCGCTCTTAAAGTTATGCCTAAAGACTCCCTTGATAAATTCTCTAACCAACACATTTTTTTTTTCAATTTGAACCCTTGGTTTCGAAAATCAGCGTGTTCAAACAAACAAACTTTTCAGCTTTATAATATTAGTAGAGATTAAAAATTCTACGTCCGTCTGCTTGAACTTAGCTTTATTTATAAATTTATTGGAACAAAAACAAAAATGTTCTGCCAGTATGACTCACTCTACAGTCGAATGTTACTAGCCAGAATTAAGTACATTTTCGTAATATAGACCTTGAGTTCTATGCATCGCGGATATGGTCAATAAAGTAAATACGAAAAAAAATATAATTAAAATTTTATAAATACATTTCAATGTGAAATTTTGACTTTTTGTTTACTCAGATTCTAATATAAAATGATTCGCTTTCATCGTTAGTTTGTAGTCTGTGGAATAGTAACCTAGATAGAAGTAAGTACTTTAGACACTCTAATATAAAACTAATTTTAATTATTAAAATCTCTTTTATTCCAATTTAATTTCACAATGTGAAAGTGTTATTAGTTTTAACTTTGACATTAGAGACACCCTCCACCTGTACCACGTGATCACGGCTGCTGCAAAGCATCCGAAACCGTACCGTCCTACGTAGTTAAAATAATTTCCAAATAAGTTTAACTCATATATATCGTGTTTTAAACCGTTAATTTAGTTTCACATTTGTCAGTAGCAGTAAATTCAGTTTCCAATAAAATTAATCTATATCTAATATTTTTAGAAATTGCTAAGTATCGATGCAAATGTGCTTGAGAGGTGCAGGGTTCGAGAACCACCCTAAAAAATTATCAATCTAAAATTCGGAATTTTATGTGTTTAAAAGTCAACTGTATAATTACGTAATTTCTTCCATTATTTAGCAAGATGAAGTCCGTGATTGTTCTGTGTTTCGTCGCCTTAATGGCCTACGCATCCGCCCGCCCTGAGCAGTACACTGACAAGTTCGACAATGTCAATCTGGACGAGATTCTTGACAACCCCCGACTGCTCTTGCCTTACCTGAAGTGTATCACTGACGAGGGAAAGTGCACACCAGACGGAAAGGAGCTTAAAGGTTAGTAACAATATATATAATATAACACATACATTAAAAACAATATATATATAACGCATAAATCGATTATAAACAAAAAAAAATACGACATGGGCAGGTCTCGACCCGGCATCCACATCGTTCCGTGCTCTTGCTCGAACCATTTGAGGTACCCTACATATCATGGTCGAATTTTTGATAATTGCACCACTCGCGCATTGTAATTTCAACCTTAACACTTCCTCAATAAAGTTAAGGTTGATTTTTTCATTTATAATCGATTTTTAATATATACGCTGCCATCAGATGCAATAAGATGTGAAAAATATTAATAATTTCAAAGTATACACTAGCTGTGTCAGCGACTTCGTCTGCTTAGAATACTTGTTTTGGGCATCCAAATTTGGTTTTGCAAACCTCTACATCCTTATAAATTTACGCTACCCACGACATCGGTGCCGTCGTCGCGACCCATCATTCGGGTCCCGTCGTTCTTGAAAGTGAATCTTAAAAGATATAGTGTCACGGACATTTTTTTCAGATTCTTTAAAGAGGAATCATTCCTTTATACATATTTTTTTGTGTGTCTTGAACCGTTTTCAGGTCATCAGAAACCCACAGGGATGTAAAATTTTCCCCGTTTTGTTCACATTTCCCGCTGTATCTTCGCTTCTATTAGTCGCAGCGCGATGTTGATGATATAGAGGCCTTCTTCGACAAATGTTCTATCTAACACAAAAACAATTTTTCAATTCGAACCCGTAGTTCTTGAGACTGGCACGTTCAAACAAACAATCTCTTCAGCTTTATATATTAGTATAGATATAAAACTCCTTTAGATCGCGATTAACGCAGTGCTAAGTGACACGTTTAAGAGCTCTTTGTTCACGAAGTTGGTCTCTTGCGCACTGAGAAGCGAGTTTAATTAGAAAGTCCAATTGTTATTCAATCAATATATATAATGTGACATGTAACTTTTTCCAGCCCACATCCAAGAAGCCCTTCAAGAGGACTGCCTTAAGTGCACAGACTTCCAGAAACAGAACTCAAACCGCGTCCTCGCTAAAGTAATCAACGAGCAACCCGATTACTGGAACAAAATCAAGGCTAAATACGACCCAGAGAACAACTACGCCCCTAAATACGAAAAGGAGCTGAAGAAGAACTAATTATCAATTAGTTAACCGAGAAGCACTTAGATAAATTGCTTTTACATTGTATTTATTTTATTTATAGAGGGAGGGAATATATTGTTATTATTGAAATAAATTTTATTAAATTTGCCAAAGTTATAGTGAATGGTTTTCATTTTTTGCCTTAACCCTTTCAAGACCATAAGAAGAATAAATGTGTGAATACAAAGCAATATTTTAGCTATTTTGGGTGTAGAGTAAGAAAATATCACTATAAACATAGCAGGGTGTATAGATTTAATATATTTTCATACGTTTTATTTTGACATTCATTAAAAAAATATCGATTCAATAATAATCGAATAATCGATAACGATTTTTGTAGAAGGGAAAAAGCGTGAAAGGGTTAAACAAGTAGTAAACACTATATAAAATCATTTTATCGGTTTTAAACACAAAGAATAATTTAGGAAAAGTCGGTAATTAGATTATAAATTTAACTAAAGTCAGTAAAAGAACTTTCCAGATCTTTGTATTTATTTTATTTAAAAACATACAATTGGAGCGACGTTTTCCCATAAGAATAAATATCACAAGAACTTAAAGGCTTTTTTTTAATTCAGCGCTGTTAGTAAGAAAACGTAAGAATCGGATATAATTAGTGAATAAGAATCAAGAGAAATAAAGTCTTACCTCATTTTGAAGCTTCTTTAACAAATTTAAAAAGTAAATAAAGCGACATTATATTAATTAAAAATCGATTATACATTGAAATAAAAAAATACGACACGGACAGGACTTGATCCAGCATCCTCAGCGTTCCGTGCTGTTGCTCTAGCTAGCCAATTGAGATGCCGAGTCCCACACATTATCGTCAAATTTTGTTTAACTTATTGATACAGCACCTCTCGCGCAAATAAAAAACAATTAAATTTAAAATCGATTTTTTATTGTGTACATACATATATTGCCACAGTGATAAATATAAAAGTTTTATAAATATGTCATTTTTAGTGTTTTAAAAAACGTTTATTATTTATATATGTAATACGGTTTTGACTGTTTGAAACCGGTTTTCTAAACAGAGGAGTAAATATAAAGAAATACCCCATAGATCAGGTGGTCTATGGGAAATTTCTTTAGTTGTGAGGTACACAAAAAAGACTTATATTTAGTTTGGATTTGGTAATAGTCAACTTATTAAACTGAAGTAAAAAAAGACAATTCAACTACGACCCGCTTGCTATGCTTTGCAGAAGTGGTCACGAGGGGACTGAAGATGCAGAGCAAGATCTTATCAAATCTGCTTCGCCATTTATTTTGTTGTAGTATCTTTATATTTATAAAGACAATATGAATCCTATAATACTGACAACAGTAGAGTGAAAATTTAAAATTAATTTAATTGCCTATTTTATTAGCAATATCCATTTCTCTCTAAAGAGCTGTTTATTTTTCACACATACGACATATTTCAACTTAACAAATCGGTTTTAAATTAGTAGATGCTAGTAGTATAGAGAGCCGTGTTGGTCTTACACGTAAGGGAAAAGAGATTGAAAATTTTGAGCATAAAACATTTTGAATTGTTTTCATATTTGACGGATTACCTGGAATAAGAGCTAGGCTATCTTAAGGAAGGAATGAAGATATACAGACAGACAGATTTAAATAAAACCCTTTTAACGGTTGAAAACGGGGACAAATTAACTTATGTCAATTACTTTAAATAGGGACCCACCTTTTGGATTCTTTGCTGCAGTAACTTACGGGGGGTGAGGTGTCACCGTTAAAAAGGTTTCATTTAAATGTGTACTCGTGTATTCTATAGACAATATACACAGACAAGAAATGTGACGTAGTTAATATTATTTTAAACGTCATCGGAGCTTTTGTTTACGCTCAATTTATTCTTGGAAATCGAACAGGTTTGCACAATGTTAAAACTTACGCCCTATATAAGAATCGTAAGCTTCCTCCAGTATATGCACTTTGTGTCCTTTAGTGAAAGGTATCGGAATTGAAAGCTCGGAAAAATACAAGGTAAGGTGTTTTATATATAAACAATAAAATACTGTTTTGTAGCAAAAATAAATTAATCAAACCCTCTTTAAAATTGATACGATTAGTTAGATTTAGTTAGATTTATAAATATTTATTTAAAAGTAACCTATTATTATTAGGGCTAATTATGTTTTTTAATAATACTAGACATTTGTTAATGGGCTTTGTTGAGAGGAGTTTAAAAAACTTATTAATTATAAAAAGGTTATTATTTTATAAATTGTGTAATGCTTTCACGGCCATCGTTTAGCTTATCATTGTTTTTCGGGTTGTTCAGCCGACGTGAGCGAGAAGAGGTTCTCGACGTTTCGATCGATCACGTACGGACGGCATCATCAGGAGATGTTGTTAGCTCCCCAATTGCTCGATATCGCTAACGGCCGAATAGCCCGAGAAACAATTATAAGCTATTATTATATAATTTATTAAATGTTATTTAAAAAAATATATTACCTCATACTATAATATATGGATTTATTTGAAAATTAATATACCTTAGATTTATTAATATACCTTACTGAGTAATCTTAGTTAAAAAATATTAATATTTTTTTTAATTATAAGAACTTCAATTTTTATATCATGTTTACAATTTACATGTTAATTCACTTGAAAATTCATAAACATTTTAAATTTTTATATTCTAGTGTGAGTACCGCCATCTTGGTCAATAATTTCTAATTTAAATAAAACGCGCGTTTTGTAAATCGCGTTTAAAACCGTTAAAAGTGTTCTAACTAAACTACAGACGATACTAAATTTTGTATGCATTATTTTTTTTAGTATGAAGCTCGTCATTATTCTAATTGTGTGTTTGGCATGCGCATACGCCAGACCGGAAACTAGCGACACGTACACGGATAAATACGACGGTATTGAACTGGACGACATATTGAGCAATCGGCGGTTGTTCCTTCCTTATGTACAATGCATTTTGGAAAAAGGAAAATGCTCCCCAGAGGGACGGGAGTTGAAATGTAAGTATTTCCGCGTCCACAAACGATATGAATGACATTAGTGCCCTGCTTAACTTGTGTAATAAATCTACAATCTGACTGAATGTTACGAAATAATTAAATTAACACACGCTTTAAAGGTTTAAAACGCGATATGTATTAGTTAAACGTATTTTATTTTTACTATGTGCCTCCACGTGACCACGGCTGCTGCAAAGCTACCGAAACATCTGGCCGTAGTTAAAATAATTTAACTAATATATATCGCGTTTTAAACCTGTAAAGTGTTTTATGTGTATTCGCGTAAACTACAGACAGTATTTTGTTGCGAAAGATCTTTATATATACTTTATAAGAATTGCCAAGGATTAAATATGAATTGTTTTAATTTAATTAATATTTTAAGATTACAATTAAGTTACGGGAATTAAAAATTCCCTCCCAGACTGTTCTTCTTTGTTTACTAGTTCTACTTATCTTCTCATTATAACATATGATAAAATAAAACAATAATGTGTTTAAAATGTACTTGAGAGAGTATTGTTAAAGAATTTACGAAATTTGTTTCTTACTCAACTTAAGCTCCAAAACATGATATATACATGTGTAGTTACACAAATGTTTTCAAAATTCGAATGAATATTTTTTACTTACCTACATATTTGTAAATACAAAAATTTATTACACTTTTTGCGATGGTATCACTATAATTTTTATACTTTAATTTCGTAATCCGTGGTCATTGTTTTAATTAGAAACGAAATTTAATAAAACAAGATACGAATCAGATTCACAACCAAGCCCCAAGGTACATTTAATTATTGTAATACCTTGTTACAGCTCATATAAAGGAGGCCTTGGAGAATTTCTGTGATAAATGCACGGAAGCCCAGAAGCGTGGCACTCAAAAGGTCATATCCTATCTTGTGAATAACGAGACTGAGTACTGGAATCAGCTGGTCGCCAAGTACGACCCAAACCGGAAGTACGTCACTAAATATGAAAAGGAATTGCGGTCTATTAAGGCTTAAGACTTGTACTATAATTAGATATTATGTGAATAAATAAATAAATATAATTAGCTGGTTTTATTTCGAACAAGGCTGACATACAATTTAATATTTCTGTCTGTCTGCGATCTCTTTTATTTCTTCTTCTTAATTTGATATCTTTCACATTGTAATCTTTTGGGGTAGGCACATATTTGTCTTTTTTACGATAGTTGAACGTCATTAAACTTCACGGATATTCCTACCATCCATTTACTAACCAGATAGACAGACGAAGTTCAACATGTTTAAAAAATAATAATTTGAAAAATGTTGGAGCCGATGGGGATCGAACCCGTTGATTATTAGCCGTACATTGCTACCATTACACCACCGATCCATTCAAACGTCTCCGTTCAATAATCGATTTTATTTCAAGGCATACTTGACCATTCTGAGCTCTGTCCGACCAAAGGGTTTTTATTGTCTTCGAACCCAAGACTTTTTGCACTTAAGCCAAGTTTTGCCAACGTGGCCGCGGGTTCTTTAAAATATAGATATAGTAGCTTATATTGATATTGAAAACAAAAAAGAAATAGAATTTTCAAATTTGATCTTCAATTGTTTTTTCTTTTAATATGTCGATGTAGATCATACAATATAAATATTATTATATAAACATTTTTGTATTCAATTAAATTATTGTTCTAACTATTTATGTAAGTTTTAAATCATCATAGGTTTCACATTTGAATGAGCTTATAAGATGTAATAATGATTTAAATTTGGAAAATTCTAGAATGCATTTTGGCATAACTCTATACTAATATATAAAGCTGAAGAGTTTGTTTGAACGTGCTAATCTCAGGAACTATGGGTTCGAATTGTTTTTTTTTTTGTTGGATAGAACATTTATCGGAAAGGCTATAGGCTATAAAACATCGCGCTGTGACTAATAGAAGCGAAGATACAGTGGGAAATGTGAACAAAACGGGGGAAAATTTTCATTTCTGTGGGTTTCATAAGCGTACGCTGCGAAAACGGTTCAAGATACCCAAAAATATTTATGAAAGAATGATTCCTCTTTAAATCTAAAAAATCAGCGACACTATATATCTATCTTTTAAGATTAACTTGCTAGAACGATGGGACGGGACGCGACCGACGTCGTAGGTCGTAGGTCGTAGGTAGGGTTTTGCTAAAGCTCTACGTGGACGAAGTCGCTGGCACAGCTAGTGTCAATATAAATACATATATAAAAAACACATGCATTTCACACATCACTATATTTCACTCATCACTCGCCAAAAAAGCCTCATACACATCTTTGAACTCGTTCTTAGGATCATACTTCACTACGATATCTTTCCAATAGTTATCTTGGTGTTCACGAAGGAACTTCACCACTTTTCTTGCTTGGTGCCTTTGTGTGTCCGTGCATTTGGAACAGCCAGTTTGCATACCATCTTTTATGTGCACTGGAAGATTATAAGAAAATTTATTTTCTATTGCGATTTTTAATATATGTTTTGTCATTAATAACTTTTAACAGAATTTGTGTTAACATTTCGTGTCTTTTAAATAACACTTTAACGGTGTAAAACGCTATATATATTAGTTAAACTTATTTGAAAATTATTTCAACTACACACGACGTGGTCACAGAAAGACAAAACATCCGAATGGTCGTTATAATAATTTACAAATAAGTTTAACTAATATATGTATATATATATACTACTCGCGTAAACTACAGACAGTTCGTATTTTGAGAAGAAACATTTGGTTATTAAATGAAATTTAATTTCAAAAGTTTATTAAATGTAATGATTTTTTTTTCATTCTATATAGATTTTAAATGAAAAAAAAACATAATTAAATACTGAACTGAACCATGAACTGAACACATACTGAAAAAAACATGACTGCTGCAAAGCATCCGAAACGTCGGGTCCAAGTTTCAAATAAGTTAAAATAATATATATCGCGGATTAAACCGTTAAAGTGATTATTTGTATGTGTACTCGCGTAAACTGCAATAAAAATACCTTTCAATTCGTTTCCTTCGGGCGTACACCGGCCTTTGTCCAATAGACATTTTACATATGACGTCACTAGGCGTTGGTTTTGCAAAATTTCGTCCACGTTTATGCCGTCATATCTGTCCGTATATTCATCAGCAGTTATAAAGGCTATACAACACACAAATGTTAATATAATAAAATTCATTGTTCTTTTTTTCTCAGAAGTTACGGTGTTGTTTAGAATAATGACGTTTGTGTAAATGCAGTTCTCTTTTATACGTATTTCTTGAAACAATCGAAGACATTGTACGTGTCGTAATTGTTTTAATCGGTTTAATTATGTCGACGATTACTTAACCTAATAGATTCTTGTGAATCGACAATAAAATAGAGCAATCACAAAGGAATTATCCTGAAATGATATCTATGCACTTCCAGAACAAAAACGCGTAAAAAACCACTACAGACAATGTCTACTAATTATTATTATTATTGTCTGTTGTTTATGCGAATGCACAGATTTAAATAAAATACATTTTAAGGCGAAATGTATTTGTTACTTTTTATTTTAACAACAAGTTAACTAATACATTTCGCGTTTTGATCCGTTAAATAGTTTTTATTTCTATGATTCTTAGTAGCTTTAATGAAAGAAGAGAATCTTTTTTCCCGGGACCAGGGGGGGGGGAAAGGATCCGAAACGTCGGGCCGAAGTCAATTCTTATAAAACGGGTTTAAAAGTTCTAATTTCGTTAGTATTTCGGGTTGAAAACAATTAACGACGTTAGTGATAGATGAGAAGACCGAGAAGTTTTATTCAATTTTGGCTTCAATCTCTGCATTTCCGAAAATTCCAGAGTCAAAATAGGTTGGCAGGACATATTGTAAGATATTATATGAGTGGGATATTTTACTTTCCATCAAGTGAGTTTAATGCTTGTCTGTCCTACTATATCACAAAAGTTTTTAAACAGAATGTCACAAACGATTTAACTTTGCTTATTCCCCTCCTATTAAAATGTCAAGAAAAAGAATCCATTTTAAATATAATTGAATGTGTACTCGCGTAAAATACAGACAGTAATAATAATAATAAAAACTCTTTATTGCACAAACATAGGCATAAGAACATATTTAGAATTATATATACAAAATAAAACATGTTCGTGCAAAGGCGGTCTTATCGCCTATGGCTATTTCTTCCAGGCAACCTTTGCATGTAGAAATAAAAAATAAAAATAGAAAGTTAATTTTAGTAAACAATCGAATGTCAACATATCACTTCTAATGTCACAAATAACATTTTACAATAAAAGATTTTTTGCCATTGACCCCTTTTTATCTTTCTGGATTTATCATTTGAAACAATATAAAATAGTATAAATGAATAAAAGTGCGGTGTACATTTCAATACATTTATTTAAAAAACATAACCAAAATCCAGTATTCCAAAGCACTTATTGATTCTTTAGAGTTTGAGACCTCTCTGCTTCGCTTGTTCCTCGTACTGTTTCTTGTATTTGCCCTCTGGGTCGTATTTAGCGCTCAGTTCCTCCCAAATTTCCTTCTCCTTGTTAATCAGGTGCTCGATCATTGTGTAACTGCCATTCTTTTGTGTCTCCGTGCATTTGGCGCACCCTGTTTCTAGTGCGTCTTGGACGTGGTCTGAAAAAAAAAATATAATTACACGTTTCGTTCGCGTTGAGATACAATTATAGTCTGGGTTGTATTTAAAAATTGTTACGTAAGTAGGGTTGCGTGTCTTTATGTAAAATTTATATTATTTAAATCTGACAGACTCTTTGGTCTAATGGTAGTATGGCCAATAATCAACGGGTCGTGGGTTCGTTCCCCATCGGATCAAACACGTTTCTAATTAATTTATTATTATTTTAAAACATGTAAACTTTTTGTGTAATTTTACAATAAGTCAAGAAAACAAATTGTTTTAGTATAGAATTAACTTGCATCGCTTCAATTAAGTATTTGTTGTCGTAGATCAAGGATGTAATAATTATAAAATCCCATTTTAAAGACGCATAGTATTGGATAAAACGAGCTATTAACGTCCTTTAGAAATTAAAATGGATATTTTGTTTGTTGAAGGTATCAAAAAAAATTATAAATTAAAAAAAATAGATACAAGCTTGTAATACTTATAAGAATTATATAGGGTTATGTTATACTAAAAGGAAGCAATACATATATTAAAATAAATAGTTAATTATTTAAAATTATAAGTTTGACTATTTGTTTAAGTTGTTTAAGACCGAATTTGGTTTAAACTAAAGATCGATCATAGATATCTTAACAAACATATTCCATGTATTCCGGAGTGTGTTTGTAATATTGACATATTAAAATAGAGATGCAATGAAGTAAAAACAAAACAGAAAGCTGGAGAAACCATGATTATCTTTCATACTAAATACTGTCTATAGTTTACGCGATAGTACACATTTAAATAAAACACTTTAACGGTTTAAAAGCGATATATTAGTTAAACTTATTTGAAAATGATTTTAACTTCGGCCCGATTTCGGATGCTTTTGCAGCAGCCGTGGTCACGGGGAGACTCAGTGACACAGAGAAGTCTGGGGGGGGGGGGGGGGGGGGGGGGGAAGGGAGGGGGGGGGGGGGGCTGGGCCCGGCGCCCCCGCCGGCGGAAAGGGACCCGAAACGTCGGGCCGAATGTTAAAAAATTTCAAATAATTTAACTAATATTCGCGTTTTAAACCGTTAAGTTTTTTATTTAAATATCTTTCATACTATATATATTATTTAATGTTAAAAGAATAATAACTAATTGTAATTAATATAATGTATTATTACTTAGACAGAAGAGGTAGATAAAGGTACGCTTGGGAAGTAGGTCTTGTTATTATTTTTGTAACACGGATTTAAAACTTTACAAACCTTTCAATTCCTTTCCTTCGGGACTACACTTGCCCTTGTCCAAAAGACAGTTGGCGTAAGCCAGCAAGAGACGCCGGTTGTCCAAGATCTCCTGCAGATTGATCCCGTCATACTTATCAGTGTATTTCTCGTCAGCGAAGACCGCCACCAAAACGCAGCACAGAACGATTAGTTTGCACGCCATCTGCGAATTTCCACCAAATTATTATCCCCAAATCACTTTTTAATGTGTGCTAATATACGTTTGGAGTGATCTCTACCGTTTTACTTTAGGTAACGCGGTCTTGAATGTAACTTATGCCTCTGAACGTAATTCCCCGTATTTATACTAGTTACTGTGAAGCTTAGAACGTCTAATTTCCTGCGATCTAACGATCTTCAGTGTGTGTATGAATAAAAACTCATATACATGGTGTTTTCAAATATTTAGAGTTGGTTTCTATTGTGTAATAGAACACAATTCCATATGTTTTTATTAAGTCTGTGTAGTCTTATTCTATAGTATTACAATCATTTAATCACTTTTACAGGTTTTTGAGAGCAGTAATTATTTATGGTAAATTTTGAAAAAAGAACACTTCGTTCTTTGTAAGGTGAAGACGGTGTCGTTCCAATTTAATATAAATATTATAAAATTCCAGTTTGATATTTCATATCACAATATTTTGATAAAGCTTTACTTCAGTAATATAATTATTAAATTATAAAACTTCAGTATTTTAAGAGTGGGTAGTTCTATGTTTTATTCAAGACAGCTGTCTTTTTATAACCTTTAAAGCTCTGAATACTAAAAAAACAATAATGATGAATTATACTGTCTATATATAAGAAATAGGTATGTCTTGTCTATTCAGCTCAATACGTTTGTAGTATTTTTTGTAAAAAGTCGCACTTTGCATAGAAAGTATTTGTGCATATATTTGCACTCAATCCATTATGGTTTATTGATTTAAGGATATAAGTGTTGACAAAATCTTAAATTTTAGCGAAAAACGTTACTTCAGAGAAAATCTCTTAAAAATATCGATAGGTGACTGACAAATAAATATCATTATATAGGTAAACACGACGATGAGAGTAAAGAGTAAAATAAGATAAAAAACACGATATATTCATTAAACTTATTAGAAAATTATTTTAACTACGGCCCGACATTTCGGATGCCCTGCAGCAGTCGTGGTCATGGGGATACTAAAAAAGTAGGGTGTCTCTGACATCAAAGTAAAAACTGCTACCCTGTTCCGTCGAAGTTGGTAATTGGCGGCCGGGTCCTTGCAGAATTGACTAACGGCAAACGCGAAGACATCGTTAAAATGATTTTCAAACAAGTTTAACTAATATATCACGTTTTAAACCGTTAGAGTGTATTTAAATGTACTCGCGTAAACTACCGACAGTGTTTATATACTGACTACTTTATTAGACTAAATAAACTTATGATCGCGAATTATTTATTCACAACAATGTATTATTTTCTTCCTTTAAACAACCTCGAAACTATATAAATATGAGCACATATATGCACAAAAGTTAATAAATATGACAACAGTCTACGTAAGTCATATGTGCATCGTAAATACACTTAGTTTCTTTGGAACACCATAAACTACTATATATTATTGTATATAATGATTTACTAAGATCATAGCGAATCATTTTCTTAGTATTTTAATTAATACCACAATCAGTGTAACAACAAAGCTGGATTTCTAGAATATCTTAAAATAGATATTATTGCCTATATAAATACATATATATATAACTAGCTGTTGCAGCGACTTCGTCCGCTAAGAATATTAATTTTGGGCATCCAAATTCGTTTTTGCAAACCTCTTTATCTTAAACTAAAGCTGTTACCCACAACGTCGGTCGCGTCCTTTCCCGTCGTTCTTGCAAGTTAATCTTAAAAGATAGACGTATAGCGTCGTGGACTTTTTTTTAGATCATTTAAAGAGAATTTTTTCTCTCATACATATTTTTCGAGTATCTTGAACCGTTTTTGCAGCGTACGCCTCGGAAACCCAATATGATGAATGATTTTCCAAAATTATCGCTTCTATTAGTCACAGGGCGATGTTTTATAGCCTATAGCCTTCCTCGATAAATGATCTAACCAACATAATAAAAATAAAATTCAACTTAAATCCATAGTTCCTTAGCATTAGCGCGTTCACACAAACAAACATACTCTTCAACTTTATATATTAGTATAGATAATTTGTACATACCGGCTGCAGGTACGTAGTTATTGTATATTTAACATATTGTATCCAGAACAGAACAAAAGCGAGTCGGAATTCGCCGATGGGTTCCGTACTATTGACTATAATAACCTTTTCGTATTGTAAACTTTTTTTGAAATACTATGTTTATCTTGTAAAAAATTGATACTAAAAATCGGACTACTGCAAAACAATTAAATACTGTCTATAGTTTACGCGAATAGTACACATTTAAATAAAACACTCTAACGGTTTAAAACGCGATATATTAGTTAAACTTATTTGAAAATGATTTTTAACTTCGGCCCGACGTTTCGGATGCTTTGCAGCAGCCGTGAGTCTTCCCGTGACCATATTTAATTGTGTACTACTCGCGTAAACTAAGACAGTATTTAATTAACCAGTACGGGTGGAAAATGCAAACAAAGTTCGAAAACTAGAGTGCCCACGGCTGCTGCAAAGCATCCGACGTTGGGCCGAAGTTAAAAATCATTTTCAAATAAGTTTAATAATATATCGCTTTTAAACCGTTAAAGTGTTTTATTTAAATGCAAAACAATTGAAACGTCGGGTCGTAGTTACAATAATTAATTAAAAATATGTTAAGTGACACATTTCGCGTATTATAACTTTAGAAATCTTTGTTTTATTGGAGTTTGTATGCAATCCACTTAAAAGTCGTGTGTTATCGTGGTTAAATCCCGTTTCCCTCGTGGGGCATGGGGGACAGATTTTGTGCCGTTTACTGATCCGTTCTTTAACAGGCAAGTAGTTGATCAGACTTCTGTGCCCTGCCCAACCGAAACAATTTTGTTTTTCTGGGATTCGAACCTAGGACCTCTCCCGCTTAACCCAATGCTAGGCAATACTTTTAACCAATTGGCTACAGAGTGTTGTTATAAAGCAATATAAAAACATAATTTGTAAGAATATTAACTATATCGTAGTTATTGAGATTGGTGACAGAAAGACAGCGAGATCTTGGTTATAGGGTAATATTATAGCCTGATGGTAGGAACCTTATAAATATTGATTTACAACTGCATTGTTTAAACATAATTTAATATTAAATTCCCTTCCTACTAATATTATGAATATGCTACTAACTGGAAATGGATATATGTTGCGTTTTTCACTGTATGCTTCACAATTTTAGTTAGATTGTTAAAGTTTACGAAAAAGTCACTATTATTATACGTTAATTAATATAACTATTTAAAAAAAATACTTTAACGTTTAAAACGCATTTATATTACTTAAAATAATTTAACTACAACCTAACGTTTCGGATGCTTTGCAGTAGCCGCGTCAGGGCTCACTTGAAAAAATATCGCTTTTAAACCGTTAACTGTTTTTAAAGTACTCGCGTAAACAAAGAGTATTTAATATAATTAGGTGAAAGGAACCAACCCGCCCTTGAACAGTGAGATGAAAGTGATACGGGTCGGGCTTGGTAAATGGTACGACACCGGGTCGATCCCCACAGGTCCATTATGTTTCTAATTTTTAAATTTTTGTGAGGTTGGAATTTCGTAGGGGTCACGAACCACATCAACATAAGAAAAGCGTGAAGCTTATGGTTGATTTCAATTGTTGAGTATCCAAAGTCAAAATAGTTCGAAGGGAATCTGGCTTAGATGTTGGTGGGGTATATATTACCACTATTGAATCTCATGCCATGTCTTACCTCCTTGCTCATTAAAAAAAGCTACAGCAGATTTTTAATTTTAATTAAAATAATCGACTCACCCTGTATAAGAGCAATACAATTGTAAAAAGTGTTTTGTTAAAACACAAAATAAGACCCTGTTACGCAAGACCGTTCAATTTCATACAATTTTAATGAGCGATTCGGTAATTACCCTTGTCAAATTATTTTAACTTAATAATTAGTTAACCGAACTTTTTGTTGGAAAAAAACGCAAGTTTCCAAAACTGAGTTGCGTCTTGCGAGAACATAAAAACAGATTTTTAATTATTATCAGATAAGCGTTTTTCCTTCTCGCCTCTACATTATATAAAGGGAGATGCGATACTCTCCTGATATGCGATGTTCTCCATATAATTATATGGTGTACTTACATATAGTGATAATAACGTGAATACATATGTTTTGAGTTATAACACCTTGCTTCGTTGAATTTAGTTGGTGTTTGGGCTACAAAAATTAAGCCCGATAACCCGCACTGAAGTAGCATAGTGGGTCAAACCCTCTCTTGCATTAGATAAGACCTACACCCAGGCGTGGGATTGGAACGAAGATATCAATACAAAAGACAAAGTTAAGCTATATTTTTGTTTGGTAAGTATTTCAACCTCATTTAAGATTTTTCGTCCCTCTATCTATCGGTAATATTTGTAACTAATCTAAACTCTTTATATACTAGCTATGCCTCCGATTTTGTCTGTGCGAAATAGTTATTTTACGCATCATATTGATTTTTATGTCGTCGATGTCGTCCGCGTCCCGTCGTTATAGTGAGTTAATATTATAAGGTAGATATATAGTGTCGCAGATGTTTAAAGAATAATTATTCTTTCATTTCATTTCGTTTTGGTTTCTTGAGCCGTTTTCACAGCGCACGCAAGGGAGACCCTCAGAGATTAATGTTTTCCCTCGTTTCTTTCTACATTTTCGTATTGGTCGCAGTCTCATCTTTAATAGCCGAAAGCCAGCCTTGATAAATTTTCTAACAAACATAATACGTTTTTTTAACAAATACTCTTCAGCTTTTTAACATTAGTAAAGGCTCTTTCAGTGTAACATCTTCAACAAGGCATATGTCCAATGGCGTTAAGAAGGGTCCTTCGCTTTTAAATCCGCGGAAACAAGAATAGAGACAGGATACAAAAGTCTGATCATTTATTGATAACATAGGTCAGTGAAATAGACATCGCAACATATATGCCCCATGCCCCATGCCCCAAGGGGACCGGTATTTTACTATAAAATGATGACACT